GGGGCTGTCCTTCAGGGGGCTCGGGGGACAGGGGGTGGAGGACATCCAGTGGGCTACTCTTCTCTTTCCTGTGCGGGACAGTATCGATTCTGGAGCGCCCCCCCCCAGCACAGTACCAGGGAGGGGGGCGTTTCCTCCCTAACCTCTCCCTGGATCAATCCCCACAATGCAGCTGGCTTCTCCTTCACTGGCCGCAAGATGCTGCATCTGTTCCTCAGACTTGCATTTGGTGCCCCGGCAGTCAAAGCCAGCCTCAGTCACGCAGTGGTGGCACATTAACAGTCTGTTTGTCTGTTACTTGTTAATTTACATTGAATAAATATTCAGAAGCTGCTTAATTTAGAAAAGATGGTCTCGTTATTTTCTAATAAGGAATGAGGGATTGTGAAGTAGATCATTCGTTTATGCATTATTCAGCTCTCAGCGCCTTTTGAAAAATTACAAAAAAATTACTACCAGTCCCTGCAATTCAATGCATCATACATATCAATAATGACTAAATGCATGGCCATTATTGTATTCCTTGTGTGAGCATTTTTTTGTCAAATATGTGAAATTTGTCGTCATTAAGTCATAATGTTAATTTATCTTAATGCCAGAAAATAGTTGTACTGTATAAATGTTTAATGATTTATGGTGCTATTACCAAGTAATAATCTGTACAGCTGTTATGATATTTAAAAAAGTAGACCAGTTTTACATTTTTTATTCCTCAAATGACATTCAGTTATCTGCCTTTTTAATAATATAGATGAATGATCGCTTCTTTATAGAAAACACAAGACAAAATATCAGAGCGAGAAACGAAATACAGAGGATTGTAATAACCCAAGTTTAACATGATATGTTAAAGTGAATGGGATGAAGGGATGAAGGAGTGCAAAGAAAAGATGGAAAAACAAAAGCAGATGCTACTTAGGGTGCTGTTACGGCTCTCCACAGATGCTCGGCTACTGGGGCTGACTTACCTACTTCACAGTTACCTACATGTACTGTAACTGGACACTGCGATCAATTTGGGCTGCTTCAGTTAACTACTCTGCCTGAAGGTGCAGTGAAATTGCTTAGCACCTTCTAGTCGTGGGTGTAGCTCTTCCCTTAATATACCTCGATATTTCCTCCGCGTGTTTGATCACGGCTGACCCCACCTCTGCCAGCTCCTCTTGCTCTCGCTTTCTCCCCGGGAATTCTGTTTCTATCACCTGAAGGTCTCCGCCAGACCAAGCCGGATGTGGGTTTTCCGGCTCCCTGTCAGGTGCTGAGCCGGGGCTTCGTCACACCATCTGGATCTGTTGTTCCACCTCAGTTGGTTCCTTATTAGCTGTTCCATTAGTTATTTGTTTACCAGATGCTTTCGTCCAAGGTCACTTCTCCCACTTGTAATTCTACGTGTTACTTTGTTTTCACAGTGTACGGCTGCTTATTGGTTAAGCAGATCCAATTTGGTGTCTCACTCCAAGGTGGCTTCGTAGAATGGCCCCCCGTGTCTTGAGCCGTAGGCTCCTGGTCCTGCCAGACCACTCTGCCTTCGCTGGTTCTTGTGGGTTTCAGATACTGAATGAACATATCGCCGATATCGCCGCCTGTGTTCACCTTCAGAAAGTAACTCTCTTGGGGATTCGGGTGGGTAAGAAGGAAGATGATGGAAAATTAAGAGGAACACAGAGGAACGATGCTTTTATCAGTTGACAAGGAACTTATGCCATTGTTTTAGTCATGTTTATATTCATCAGAATGATTATATTACTACTGTATCATAGTGCCAGGAGCCCTAAAAGTAAGAATAACGGGTAGTTTTAATTTATTGAGTATAATATTAATTTCCTTTAACTGTTATTTTGTTGAGTTTGGCTGTCATTTGCATGGACACAAGTCTCCAAATCGTACCAATGACCTATTGTACCCCCTTGCAATCTGTCGTCTGGTAGGTGGCTCTGCAGCCTCAAAGCCCGGACAGTCAGGCTTTTTTCTTCCGACTATTCGCCTGCAGAACCGTCTGGCTCCTCCCAGCCTAAGACTGGGTCTGTTAAAAGGTCTGACAGCTTTGGACTCACAACCCTGCATATAAATCTATTTATTTATTGCACGTTCTGCTTCGATGCCAAGCGTCTGTAACAGTTTGCATAATCTTTCCCCACTAATCAGGTGAATAACTGTATCTCTCCCTCTTAATGTCTTGCCTTAAAAATGTCATGTCTCTGTTCACATATCTTAGTGTTTATATCCTGTTTATTACTTATTATTTTTTATTTGGACTTCGACCGACAAGAACGACATTTCACCTCAGTATTTGACCCTGAGAGTCCGGCTCAGTAAAAGCTACCTTGATTTTGACTTTAGTCGTCTTGCTTGATGGGATTTCGCAGGCCAGGACCAGAGGTCAGATTCCCACATAGGATAATGGATCCAGGCCGCAAAGGCTTGTGCTTCTCAGTTCCCTGGACATGAGAGGGAGGAAGATCATTTCCTATGTTCGCTGGAAAATTCCTTCTTCATCCACATTGGTGACTGGCCCCCTCCCGCCATTACAGGCATCTCCTGCACAAAAGGATTGTAGGGGTAAATGGGGGGCAAAGGCTGTAGCTGTGGAAGCCGTTTCAGGGGTCTTTAAGAGCAGGTGGGCCGTCGACTTTCTTGCGGTAATTAACTCCTTGTTTAGAGCTACCCTGCTGTCCGGGTACCGGGGCTCGAGGAACGTTCTGAGACGAGGCATGGCAGATGCTGCGTGAGGCCACCTTCGAAATGTAGGCCACGGGTTCGGATAGATGGATGAACGGCTCTTTGATATTAATGATCCCACGTTCCCTGAACTGCTGTTAAGCGATGCGCCCTTCCACATTGAAACAACAATTAGGGCACCTTTATCGTCCCAGCGATTGCCTGAGAGAGTCAGCTCTGGCATGCAGATCATTTTTCATGGAGCACTAGTGTGTATTTCTTTGGTGGGGGGCGGCACTGGGCTTGCTTTGGGGGTATGCATTAATGCATTTGTTGGGTGATTGGTGCTGCACAAATCTGTGCCCATGTTTGGTTCTGCATGTGCGTGTGCAGGTGCATCTATATCACTTTACCATATGTTGCTAGCCATGCATGTGTTTTTGTGCATGCATGCATACATGCATCCGCACGTGTGTGTGTGTCAGTGTGTATTTTTAGACATGCGTGCAGGCATCCGTACATCTGCACTTCTGTGTCTGATCGTGCGAGGACGTTTCCTGGTCTCCTTGTGTGCTCGCCGTCAGGTCTGTGTCTGTGCAGGGCTGCTGCCGACCAGTGCGGGGACTTTGATTTACAGTCAGGGCTACCTGAGGTTTCATGGAAATGTGGCTTGACACCCATGAACAAAAAGCCGCCTCATGATTAATGGCGGATTCTTCTGGGGCGAGTTAATTGTTCCTTGTGAGATCCAGCATGCTGGCCTCTGGGTGTCCTGTTGACGTTTACATACCGAACCCTTTCATCAGTAGAATTTCTTATGTGTTTTTGAATCGTCCATACAGTGGATGACGGGAACCATTCTCCGTGTAACCGTGACGATTTATCCACAAAGATGGCAGCAGTGGCTTTTGCCCCCAGAGTTCCAGAAAGGCCTCAATGGCCATCATGTAGGGTCACAGGGGCTAAACATCACAGCTGGGCCCTGTCTCCCATTGGCCAATCGTGCGCTTACTCGGCAGGGTGAGGAAGGGGGCGGGGCCTCAGCCGCCTTCACACACCTGGGAAAGGTTCGCCTTTGTTTTCTAATCCTCTAACAATACATTATAACAGCATTTTTAATGAACACATTAAGGATGTTCAATTTCCTCACAAAACAGTTCATCGGAAGACATATTTCAAGTGA